GGAAAGAGACACCTTTGGCAGAAGGTCACATGAGTGATCTATAACAATAACTAGCTAATGCCAAGTTCACACTTCACCATTTCCTTCTAAAGTAGTAGCGTATAGTCTGCTCTCAGGTCTGTTGCTAATTTAAACAAGCCAATTTAGATCAGGATGTGCTTCTGCTTCATGCCCCAGTTTAGACATCCATCTCTGTGGCTTTCTTCTCAGCAACTGCTCTTGCCATCCATCAGAACTCACCACGTGAGTGCCATGTGGTGTAATATTTGCCTGAAACATGAGAGGAGGTCTTTGGAGGAAAGCCAGGTGACATGGAAATGGAAGAGGTGACAGAGGGATGCTGTTAGATGTGGACATTTTCCATTTAGCCCTGCTAGCCATTTTCACACCTGATTTGTGTTGGTTCAAAACTGTGTCATTATGTGTTTTGGAAGAACATGTCATGATGTGTGATTGGCAGGCCTTTCTCAACCTGGCTGCTAGGATGTGGCAAGTGAGGAAAGGCAATCTGTGTCATAAAAATGAGCAGTATTAAGGTCTGTCCTTTCCCTTGTCAACTGTAAATAATGAAATTATTTGTCCTTTTCACAGGAGAACCTGTAGTCTGTTTGTGCTGACCACAGGCAGCTGAGCAAAGCACCATGACAAGCCATCAGACAGGTGAGAGAACAGACACAGCTATGAAAACTATCTGGGGTACCCCTGAGAATAAGCCCAACTTGCTTTTCTTCTTTGGCAGTTAGGTATCTGTCTCTCAGCACCACAAGGAGATACACCAGCAACTGGCCCATCAGGTTCTGCTGACCTTTGCAATAGTGTCTTTGTCATGCCAGATTCTGAAGTTTTGTTTGGAACAATAACTGATGTAAAGCATTCCCCATCTCAATCATTGCCAGACCCGTGAGCTGATGTGGCCCTGCATTGCAATCTTGATTTCAGATTTTCCTACTTGGGCCCTGGCTTTGCAATAAGTCAGCACAAAATCACAGACCCTAATGCTCCAACCTTTACAGCAAGTAGTAGAATCACAGAATCCCAGACTGGTTTGGGTTGGAAGGGATCTCAAAGCTCATCCAGTTCCAACCCCCCTGCCATCAGCAGGGACACCTTCCACTAGACCAGGTTGCTCAAAGCCTCATCCAACCTGGCCGAGAACACTTCCAGGGAGGAGCAGCCACAGCTTCTCTGGCCAACCTGGGACACTGTCTCATCACCCTCACACCAAAGAATTTCTTCCTCACATCTCATCTAAATCTACTCTTATCCAGTTTATAACCTTTGGCACTTGTTCTGTCACTCCCTGCTCTTGTCACAAGTCCCTCCCCAGCCTTCCTGGAGCCCCTTCAGGTACTGGAAGGTCACTATCTAGTACTAGAATGGAAGTGTCCTTTATAGTCCTAGAGGAACTGAGCAGGAATATTTACTGTTGTACAGAGAGGCAATGCAGATTGAGAGATTGTTTCTAAAGGTCTTCATTATCTTAACTGGATGTATTTTTTCTTGCCTTCCTAGTAAAACCCTTCAAGAAATCTTCTGTCCCAGGAGTTCTCATCACCCAGTTTGTGGATGATATTCCAGAAGGATGCAGTACACCTGACTTTGAGCGGAAACCTGTCACTCTGACATTGCAGGAAGGTAAGATTCTTGAAAAATAGTCAAAGTCACAGAGCTGGAGGCTTGACTCCATGTCTCACCTAAATGAAATAATTATCGTAATTAAATCAAGCTAAGTTCTGAAGAGATTTGACTAGATTGGAAAAAAAGTGTTGTGTGGCCAAGGTCTTTGTTGTACTAATGAAAATTCTCTCAGGGCTGATAGAGGGTCTCTCGAATTTTCACTAGTGCATGCAAGATCAAAATCTGGCTCCTAATGTGTAGAACAAATCTTGTGACTTCTGCAGGAAGCTCTCAAAGTAAGTATTTTGCAGCAAAAGATTGACCACATTGAGAGTTTTTTCCTGTTGAACTAACTTGTATTATGAGTATTCAGCACTAAAATTAACTGCTTTTTAAAGTAAGATATACTGACTGCAGAGGCTATTTAGGTTGTACTTCTCCTTCAAGAAGCAATATGGATCTTGCATCTCTATGTGCAGAGAAGGCATCTAATGAGCCAAGACTCAAAATCAATAGGAAGCCTTCCAGTAATCTCTCTGCAATTGTAGAGAGTCATATATTTTTTGGTGTGCGATAGCCCGAGGAGATCGTGTAGGTCCTCCTCCCTCAGAAAACTGAACCGTTTTTGTATTTCAGTGTTGTCACACCCATCTGTTGATTTTTCACGAGCCATTAAGACTTAATGAAGGAGCACAGTGGCCTCTAGTGGTACCTCCCTACTCCTCCTTCCTTCCACCTGCGAGTTTCAGGCATGAGCTAAGGCGGTGGTCAGTCACCCTGTCTACATTTTCCAAGTTACTTCATTTACAGTAGGTTCCTCATAGTTCATATACAAAATGTTTAGACATTCAGGTTGGTCACTGTGTGAAATGAATTCAGTGTCTATGCAGTTGCATGATGAGTGTCTCTAATTATATCATCATTGCCCCGTTGCATTCAGAGCATGGATTAGCTGACACTCCCAGCTGTGGAGCTGTGTCCTGTGATAGATGGCAAGCATGGGAAGTGGCAGACAGAATGGCTAAAATTTGACGAAGGTTTAATCAATTTGAAACAGGCTCTAATAACAGATAAAGTTGGAAGGTGCCTTTTGATAAGGATCTGTTGGCAGGAGCTTGCTGCACCAAAGAATTTTTTTGGTGGTGCAATAGTTTTGGTCTTCAGGTGACCAACACTGTTAAAAATGCTCCCCAGAAAGTCTTGCAATATTTCCCACACCTTTCTGGGGAGAATTTTTAACAGTGTTGGTCACCTGAAGACCAAAACTATTGCAAAAGAAAGATAGTAATCATTTCCACCCTGAACTACATCCACGGATAACTCATCTCCATTTCTATTCCTCTGTGACACTCCCGCTTACCTACCCGAGACACTTCCCTGATTTGTTGTTTCATGGTGTTTCCTATGTCTTTGAAGCCTTTTGAAAGAAGAAGAAAAGGTTTGTACTAGGCAGTGGTAAAGCTGTTCGACATTTCTCTGGTCAGCTGACGTATACTCAGGTTCTTAGGGATGCAGAGATGAAGGAGAGACCTCACAGGTAAACACCATTCTCTTCTCCCTTTTGCTTCTCTTTAAAGAGCAGAGCCTGGTGTGTTTGGAGTGGAAGGTGGAGCCAGGCGAGCAGACAAGGAAGGTATTGCAGAAAGATGACATGTAGGGAGTACATGGGGAAACACTCTACCCTGCATGGGTCCTCTCAGTTGTAGCACAGTGTTGTCTGTTAAGAACTTGTTTTCTTAAGTGTGCAGAGCAAGTATTTTATTGTTTCTGCCTCCTAATAAATCCAAATTTATCCAAATGAAAAGGAGACCAGGAGCTGCAACTATTCACAGATGAACTTTACTGATGTCTCAAGCCAGGGAACTCCAGCACAATGAGTCCTTTCTTATTTACCATCCTGCCCAGGATGGTCACGACAAAGGGAATAGTCTGAAAGCATGGAGAAGCAATGGGAAATTGTAAGGGAATATGTGTGATGAGAATGGATTTGGGCATTTCATGACTGTGGTACAAGTAGTGCGTTGAAGTTGTCAGAAGCAAGTCTAGGCTGAACTTGCTATAGAGCTGTTGATTTCCAAGGTGTTCAGAGCATGGTAGCAGTCACATCTGGCAGGCTAACACCACCTTTTAAAAGCCTTTTATGATTGAATGTGAGCAAACCCTGACATTCTTGATGTGGGGAAAGGTAGCCCAGCTTGGACTTGCACTAATAACTGCGTGCTCTTTGACCCTGCCAAAATATTGAGGGAGTTCAAAAATCAGACCAAGATACCAAAAAATTGCTCTCTTGGGTACATCATTTCTCTCTCTGCATGGCTATCTGGTAAAAACAGGCAGAGACCATGTGTGCCAGTGTTGAATTTTAAAGTTTTCAAGTAATCTGTTCGAAAGCCAGTGAGTTAGAGTGGAGGTTGTGGCAGATGTCTTGCAGTAATTAGGGCATTTAATGCAACTTAAACTGATAATTTAGGCATCTTGTACAGAGAAAACAAAAAGATATAATTATTTTCAAAGAATGTTTCTGCCTAAAACAACAGAGATGTCTCACTCTGAGGATCACTCTATTGATAACATAAGGCACCTGGTGTGAGAGTCCTCATGTTCAAGCCTGTCTTAAATAACTAATTTCTTGCTTCTTTTCAAAGGTAAAAATGCCATTTTCAGAGCTGTGGTGAAAGGTGACCCAACCCCTGACGTGAAATGGACACGTATGCAAGGAGGAATGGATGATCCTGCCAAATATGAAACATTCTTCAATAACGTTACAAATGAATACATTCTGCAGGTAAAGACCAAATATTGCAGACAGGACTCATGGAAAAGAGAGAGCAATAGAAAGGAAAAACCTGCAGTGGGCTGATATAGATGTCACCAGATCTGAGATAACACAAAGATAAGCAAACAAACCTTTTTAGAGTCAATCTGGGAACAGAAGAAAGATCTGAGATGTCACTGAATAGCTGTTTTACTAGAACGTGAAGGTGTGTGAACTGAACTACAGTGCATCGCTGTGAGATCTTACTATGTTCTTCTTTTTAAGATAAACAAACTCACCACAGCTGACAGTGATTTGTATCGTTGCATTGCTGTGAATGAATATGGGGAAGCTGCCTGCTCTGCTGGCCTCAGGATCCTACAAGGTAGGATTGACAGGTTCTGTGCTCCAACGGTCCTGTGGTCCCAAGTAGTTGGCTATGTTGTCCTCTGGGTTTGGGTTCCCAGAGCATTGTCTTTGGTGTGAAGGTCTGTTTTTCCCCTCACTGAGGACTGGAGGTCTTCTGTGATTCCCCCGACTTTGGTTGTTCCATGGCAGTATGAGCTTTAAGGCAAGGGAGAAGAAAGGGGTTTTGAGGTCTCTGCACTGGACCATAATCAGATGCTCTGGATTTAGTGTTGAATTGGCTCAATCCTTTCTTATGATATTGAACAAATCAATCTTTTGGGAAGGATCCACCCCACTTCTCTTCAGATGTCCATGGTGTCCACCTGACCTAGTCCCCTGCTTCCCTTTGTAGTCAATGGAGAGAAATGTGCACTTTGTGGGTAAAATATAACTGACCTATTCTTGCAATCTACGTGAGCAGGAGATGGACTATGTTGGAAGTGTCCATGTCAACTGTGTGCCTCTAAAGCAAGTTTAGAAGGCAACTATCTGCATTTGGCCAGATAATCCTTGCACCTTGGCTCCCCATCTCTAAAACAAGATGTTATTTCCTACCATTGCTTGAACCATAAACTTCACAGGGCAGAAACGGTCTCCTCCTCTGTACAGAGTATCCAGTAAGCAGTCAATTGCAATAGACATACTGCATTTCTAGGTGGAGATCACTAGAACTCAGTGTCAGAGTAACAAGGAAATCCAGACTCTTGTGTTAGTAACAGATACAGAGGTTTTATAGTTCACTGGTTTACTGGTATTCATCTGAGTGTTAATTTGTTCATCTTATGGCTTGTTTTTCCTCTGTTTTCTCTTATAAACTATCAGTTGGCTTTAAGAGGAAAGCAAAATATGTTCCTGTTCATCCTGCTGATGGTAAGTTGATTTTTTTAATATGTATTTTTTTTTTTTTGGGGGGGGGGGGGAAATAGGGGGACATAATTAATACTCCTCTGTCTATCATATTACTACTACCTCAAACTTGTAAAGAATAAAGAAGGGTTAATGAATCCCTAATGTTCTGTCATCTCTTTCTGCTTGCTATTTACCTTTGGGTAAAGTGATGATTTTAGGCATAGCTTTTTTATGCCATTAATTAATGATTCATTAGTGCTAGAAAAGGATTTTGTGATGTCAAATACAGCTGCATCAATCACATTAACATGGCTGGAAAATAGTTAGTTTGTAGAGTGTCCTCTCTAGAAAGAGAGGAAAGCCTCCTCAGAAGCGATGAACTTACATGGCACTCAAAGGACGTGAGTATGACAGAGGAAACTGCCTCTAATTTTCATAACAATTTCTTTGTAGAGTGTGAAAAAAATCACCAGAGGTAAACGGCATAACAGAATGACCAGTTGTCAGTGGCTATTTTGCATTATCTTCTTTTGGGGGATATATTTTACAATGTTGTGAATCTGAATGTTTGTTGTTTCCCTCTCCCTTTAATAGAGTTGAAGAAGAAGCTTCAGGAGTTCAGGAAGCTGCTGAGGAAGCGGTAAGCCTCCATAATGAAGACCATTGTTACACTTCCTAGATATTTCTTGATGATAGGGGACAGCTTCATAGATCTTCAAGGCAACATTTCTTGTTTCTAAAGTTGTTGTGAGACTCAATACGGAGAGACAGAACAGAACAGTTTGCCACTGTCTGTGAGGCTGAGATAAACACAAGGCACCAACCTTGTTTTGAGGTCTATGTTCCTTTGCACCACAAGATTTTGAGTGGAAAGATACGTTTCTCTGCTTTCCTGTCTTCAGCTCACAGGTAACTTCCTGGCTAAGTGACAAATCTTCATGTAATGATCTTTCTGGCTAATTGGGGACTGAGCCGTGGCTCCCAGGCCAACTGCACAAGTTGCCATGTGCACATTGCAGAAATACCTTCACTTCCCAGGTGGGATCCTGCAAAGATTGCCTAATGGGAATGATCTGTGGCCTGGGCAAAATCCTGAGCTGTGCTGAGAAATTACTTGGGAGAGTGCAAATTGGTCTCAGCCAAACTGACTGGTGGCTCTGCTGGTAATTCA